AGGTAGCAGAGGAATTGGGTCTAGACGTCATTCTGACTCAAGAACCTCAACCAAATTGGAGAGCGTGCTTTATGTCTGTCGTCGGGACCTCCAATGTGCCCTCTTACACCATCTGCCGACTACACACTGTACAGTGTGTCATTTGCTCACCTACGAAGAGGGAATTTACGTGGTGTCCGCGTATTTTCGTCGACGTCACGCACTGCCGTAAGTCCATGGAGGAGTTTATCATGAAGGAGATCCTTCGACCTATGCCACTGCGAACGGAGCGACCATTGACCTCACATTAACGACAAGAGGCATCCCGGTGACGGGATGGAGAGTGTGGGAAGACAATATTGAGATTGACCACCGTCTCATAACGTCTGAGTTGGCAAGTACGAGCACTTCACGCGCTGAGCTGCCAGAAGAGCTTCCGAGTGGACTGGCCTCTCTTCGAGCGCCGGATCCATGGGAGGGTAACTTGAAGTGGAAGCGGCTCGCCTCGATGATCTGTGCTCAGTTCGCAGCTCTTGTTTTGAGCACCGCGAAGCAGACGCTGCGGTTGGCGAAAACTAGGAATTCGGACACGGGACATGATTGGTGGACGCCCGAGCTTGATTGGCTGCGTCATCTCAACAACAAGTTGAGAAGAGTCTGGCAATCGACTCGCCGTGCCGGTGGCCTGTTTGAGGAGGAGGCCCGGGGGCGCTTCCACGTGCATAGGCGTAGGTATAGGGCGGCCATGGAGGAGGCGCAACTTTTGCACTTTTGGAAAATCGCCGATACCGGAAACCTGGACCCTTGGGGACATACATACCGAGCCGCGAGTGAGAGGTCTAGGCCTCCCCGTAACGTAATTAATGGCACGAAATTCGCCGAAGTATATGCTAGGGGTGTGGACGAGGCTATGCACAGCCTCATGTATGCTCTCTGTCCGGACTACGATGTGCCTAAGGACAGCGAGTACCAGAGGCAAGTTCGATCGAGGCTTGCCTAGCGACATATTTTGTGATAACGGAGGTTGCTTTCGTGGGGCAAGGAACCAGCTAGCTGATCTGTACAAAGTAAATAATTCGGCTGATCACCAGATGCAATTCATAGTTATGCACCAGTTTTCGCAGGGCTTGCAGAAGCTGCTGTAAAAAGCATGAAATTTCATTTAAAAAGAATAGTTTTAAATGTTATGTTAACATACGAACAGTTAAACACCGTATTATGTCAAACAGAGGCTGTACTTAATTCGCGACCTATTTTACCTCTTTCTCAGGATATTAATGACTTTTGCTACCATACTCCAGGTCACTTCTTGATAGGAACAGCTCTAACAATATACCCTGAAAGAGATATTTCCGAAACCAAAACAGAGATTCTGGAATACCTGGTATAAGTACTACTTAAATATATTGCAAAATAGGGATAAATGGCCTAAGAATAATGCCAAATATAATAATAGGTGGAGAAACTAATTCTCCACCTTTCGTGTGGCCCATGGCACGTGTAGTAAACGTGTACACTGGAAATGACGGCAAGGTCAGAGCCGTACAGTTAAAAACAGCTGATGGCAAATTATATAATAGATCATTGCAACGTATAAGTGTTTTGAATATGGAATAAATATATATTTAATTATTGTTCTTAAAAATAATATAATGTTATGTTATAGAGGCTTACCATTTATTTTTATTTTTCATTTATATTGAATAGAAATAAGTTATAAGCAATTGTTATACTAGTTATTACTTTGCTTAATATTTTGGATAAGTCCTTTCAAAAAATAATTGTAAGTCACTAAATCTATTGCAAGTCATTCTTGTACTTGTTATTAATAGTATTGTTTATAGTTCTCTATTATAAACAGACCCCTCTTTCCCAGTGGGCACTTTGAGCAAGTGCCCAGGGTCCCGCGATCGATAGGGGCCTCCGTCAGATCAAATACAAAGTAGTCCTGTCAGATCACCAAACGATAATCAATATTTATTACCAAAAAACTTACATAATTCGATGAAATCGAACCTAAACTACTGACTACAATACCAACTTACTAGCTTTTACATAAGCGAAGCTATTCTACTCTCGCCCAAAAATTAGGCTTTCCGACTTCAGCTTGCTTAGATAAATTTAAATATACATCTAATGGTATATTAAGTATATACAAATTTTAAACAAAAATCATCAGTATGACTCGCTCTATCTCAAGTCATAATCCAAATCAAAGTCATATGGGCCCTATTATCCTAATTTGCCCAGAGCCTCCAATAGGTTAAAGACGGCCCTGATTATAAAATAATATAAACTGTAAATTTTCATTAACATATATTAGCCTACGTGTAAAGCAGAGAACAAGTAAATATAATTAATATAAAACTGATAAGAAACGATAAGTTATAAAAAAGAATAAACTGTTTCATTTTCTTTATTTGTATAGCTTCAAGTTACTTAATATATCTTAGTTTGTCAAGTACCTACATGTTTATGCAATTAAGTATGTCTCCAATGTTTTAAATATGAAGCTTTGCTTTCCTGGGCCGCAGTACGTTGCTGGCAACACAAATTTTTATAATTTAAAAAAGTTATGTTGTTTTCCGTTTCCTTTTTACCATCTCTCTGCATAATTTCGTTCTTGTGCGATTACATGTGCTGTGTAAATTTTATAATAAAATATCGTATCTCTGCAACCGGTGGTTTTCCTTGCAACCAGAAACTACAATCCACCATTCCAAAAGTGTAACATGCATAGCCAAGAAGGTTCGTCAGGCCATGGGTGGTTTGTGGGATTTGTCCAGATCTGCAGCGCTAAATCCCGATTTTTTTGACCTCATGTATCGATTTAAAACAAATCGGACATGGCAACACTTCGCAGATGACTTTTACAGGAGTTTTTGGCGGGATTTCATCGAGTGCGGTTGGCGTCTTATTTTATTTATTCTTAAATTCGTTCATAGTCGATATTATGAAATAAAATTGGTGTGATTTTGTGTTACAACCATCTGTGCAAATGAAGAATTAGTCGAATCTTTAAAATATACGCTATTCCGGTCAAGTGGACGTGAGAACTTTATTGTAGTGTTGACTACCTCACAGAAGCTTATCGGAAAAACCTACTCGGTACATTTCGTGCCAAACACTCCAAGAAACATTAGAATGCGTCACACCGACATTCTAATGTAAATAAAAAATGAAGATAAGGATTTGTATTTATGTATACGACTGAAGGACGTGTATCCACTATCATGAATAATTTAAAAAAAATACCTTTACAGCGTGCATACCGGGTTTGGGCACGGCGAGATCCTAAGGGGACCTCAAGCCAAGAATTGGCAAGTGCCTCTAGAGGTATTCCAGGCGGATGGCATCTCCCCACAGTCTTCTCTCCGTCCGAAGACGTACCGTCCGAACCTGAGGGGCTCAGCTCAACTAGAGCGCGTCTCTGAGACTCTGACCTTGGCTCTAGGTATAGTCCAGTCGGAATAAACATGAGACCTATTCTAAGACACCAGCGCTTAGCCAATTTTTTCCTAGATAGTATAGACACCCACGAATATGCCCTCCATTTGTCCCCGCTAGAACCCGTGTTTTGTAGCCAGGAAAATTGTTTAAACAAAGAAAAACCGTTTTTTTTGAGTTTTTTTGCTTGTAAACGGGGATTTTGAAAATTTTTTTGAATCAAAGTTGTTCATTAGCTTGCCCTCTACAAAATCAGTTCTATGAAAAAATAACGTGAGATTGTTAGTTTAGCAGTAAATTGCAATTATGTCGGTTTTACGTTTGCAACAATTCAACATGTTATAATAAACATTTTGATTTCTAAAGTAGTTTATCATGTGGGTAACGCCACTCCCAAGAGAGTCATGTAAAATTTATCGACCTGTGTCGCAAACTTTAGCAACAATTCTCAATCTCCGAAAAAAAAGTACTTGCCTGTCCCGTCTTTCCGAAGGCGCACAGCGGGGAAAAAAATTCAGGTGATTCGATTCACCAAGAATTTTGAGGAATCGATCGAGTAGAAAAAAATCGTTAGTAAAAATGTTCGTTTTTGGACGATTTAAATTTTTTTTAAAAATTGACGTAGAATTTTTTTTTTTTAAACTAATGTATTTTTCTCTCCTCAACTCGAATATACTATTCTGAATATATATATATATATATATATATATATATATATATATATATATATATATATATATATATATATATATATATATGCAACAGTTGATTCTACTCTCGAAAACGTCCCAACGCGCATCCCTTAAACGGTCTATATCTGACAGTTCCCTTAAGACGGTCGCATACTCGCCACAATTTTGATTAAAATGTTGTCACTTTATTTGCGATCGTATTGGAATAGGAAAACAACTGCACATATTGTTTACAAAATGCTTTATTACCATTAAATTGAACAAGTCGCTAGAAGAATAAAACTACAAATAAATGATGAAACATTCATTCAACTAACTCATATCTCTTAAGTGCGACGATAAATACAATTCTTAAAACTTATAAGTTTTACTAATAAATAAATAAAAATAAATAAAATAAAATAAGCCTTTATTGCTGTTAAACTTTGAAACATTTTCATAATCTAATGAACCGTATATATATATTTTGTTTTTATTCTAAATTATCAGCGTTCGGGTCATTATTTTCTGACACAGCTTGTCTTTCGACATAGGCCTCCTCTAAAGATTTCCATTTTCCTCTATCTTTTGCAACTCTGATCCATTCTGAACCAGCCACCTTTTTTAAATCATCTTCCCATCTTTTCGTTTGCCCATCTTTGTTTCTTTTACCGTAAATTTTACTAATAGGGCACCCTCGTCTGCATGAAAATATTGGTTTACCATAAAATCTATGAATCCCCGTTATACCCCTTTCGGTGCACGCTTACATCATCATACCTATTTGTGTTCCAAATTTCAGCACAATCCGTTAAGTGGATTGAGACGTGCTTGGATAGAACAGCCAGTAACGGTTGCCTTTAATATATTTAGAAGAAAAAGAAAGTAAATTAAAATACTTACTCTTTGCATCTATGAGCCTCTCCCTGGGACTGAGGTCTGATGAGGACAGCTGCTCCTTCACTTTGGCCACGTCTTTCGGGTGCAAGATATCGAAGAGACTCTGACCTAAAAGCTCCGACTGAAAACAACGTTGTGTATCATCATTATCACCAGCCCATTAATGTCCTCATTGCTAGGGTATAGGATTTCCCTATGGATGGAATAGGGAAATTGGATCCGCCACGTGGGCCCAGTGCGGTTTGGTGGGTGCTATCTACAGATGCAGCCGGGACCAATGGCTTAACGCGCCTTTCGAAGCACGGAGGAGCTCGAGATAATTAATAAAGTTTTTGGTCACCCATCCAATGACCGACCATTGGGAAAGTTGTTTAATTTCAACGATCGCAACCGAATACACTAACCACTTGCGTCATCGAGCTTCTCATTTATAGCTTACTCATTAGTAGTTTGTGTTAAGTAATGGCAGTTGACCAAAATACCTACATGTTTATAGCTGTTACGTCAGTTGTCAATTCAAGACACAGTATTTGTACTGTACGAGCCGACTCGTACAGTTTTTGTCTAGTTTGCACTTTACGCCACATTCGATAATTTAGGTCACGCTCACATCAGTCTGCCATCGGTATTCATTCTAGCCGCGCATACTCATATCAATTATCATATCACTAGCAAACCAGTGAACCAAATGTTCACCAAAACCTGATTTAAAAAAAAATGTATTTAATTAATTGAGAACTTCGGAGATTTTGTGTAGTTTCTTTTTAAATTCGTGATTTCTCGAAAACCGGAAGTGCTACGTTACTCAAATCCGGTTTGTAGTCTTATCAGACTATTCTTAACTTATAACTTAAACATTCTCTTTATCAGACACACGGACGGACTTGTCTAATAGATAAGAGATTCTTATAAGTTTAATTTGTTTAATATATCATTTATTTTATATCAGGACTTTCACTTTATCAACTCTATCATAAAAAGGTGTGCAAACCGTACAGTATGAAATTAAACAGGATTCTTTTCCGCCATTTTCTACCGATTTTTCTAAGCACAAGGTTGCCCGCCGTAAACTTTAAAACTTTTGAGGGAGCTCTTCTGACAAATGAACAAATGAATTTGAGTTTGGGTTTAGTCTGTCCTTTTACGGATTTATAATATTCCACTGTGCCGGCATAGAATATTGCACCTCTCCATCTCTTCCCGTGGGTGTCGTAAAAGGCGACTAAGGGATCACCAGGAGAACGTGCAGCAGCGTTCTCCTGAGTAACATTACATCTACTGCGATCGCCAACCCGCCTGCCAAGCGTGGCGATTATGGCAATAATTCCCCCTAAATGAATGACGATATCGTCAAATGTGCTGGGAGCCGCTGGATGCGGATAGCGCAGGACCGCGCATTGTGGCGTTCTATGAGGGAGCCCTATGTCCAGCAGTGGACGGAGAAAGGCTGATGGATGGATGAATATTTCACTGGATTATTTACACCGTAACGTGTAGGCACCATGAGTAAAGATACTGGATAACAGCTTATGTCGCAGCTATAGACATGGGGTAACATTAACGACAACAACAACATATTGCAACATGTGTTAAGTAGCCTATTGAGTGTATTACCTGGTCATATTGCAGGACCTTTTTGACGGATGTAGACACGTAAAGCAGCCGCCCGCGATCACAGCCTACGACGAATAGGAAGCAATCTTGCGCCGCCTGCGAATACAAACAACCCTTTATAAAATATGCCATGAGACAAACTCATGTTTTACTGATAAGTCTACAAAATGGACATATAATTTTCGATACCTTTAAGATCTTCGCTCGAAGATCTCGATGGCGCATGCGGTTAGCGCGGTCGGCTGCGATCGCTGAAGATAAGCATCATAAATTATTTTATTCCTACGTTACATTCGGGTACTGGTATACCGCCGGCTGCGCCATAATCAGCTGACCGACGACCTCCGTTGCCGAGTGGTCTATACGGCGGGTTTCAGGGTGTCGCCTACTAGAGAGAGGCAGATGTCTGTGTGACGACCGGGGGCGGCACTGACCTGCAGTATGAGCACGTTCAACTAGCGTTCGCTGAGGTGCGCGGGGCACTGTATACAGCGACCGGAGGCGGCACTAAACTGGACTATCAGTGCGTTCAACTCGCGTTCGCTGAGGTGCGCGGGGCACTGTATACAGCGACCGGAGGCGGCACTAACCTGTAGTATCAGCGCGTTCAACTCGCGTTCGCTGAGGTGCGCGGGGCACTGTATACAGCGACCGGAGACGGCACTAACCTGGACTATCAGCGCGTTCAACTCGCGTTTGCTGAGGTGCGCGGGGCACTGTATACAGCGACCGGAGGCGGTACTAAACTGGACTATCAGTGCGTTCAACTCGCGTTCGCTGAGGTGCGCGAGGCACTGTATACAGCGACCGGAGGTGGCACTAACCTACAGAGTCAGCGCGTTCAACTCGCGTTCGCTGAGATGCGCGGGGCACTGTATACAGCGACCGGAGGCGGCACTAACCTGGACTATCAGCGCGTTCAACTCGCGCTCGTTGAGGTGCGCGGGGCACTGAATACAGCGACCGGAGGCGGCACTAACCTGGACTATCAGCGCGTTCAACTCGCGCTCGAGCAGGACGCGGCCTCGGTCAGCGGACACGTGGACAGCGCGCCGCGTACAAACCGCAGATACTGCACCGCCATACGCAGCACCGTCAACTTGTCTAGCCGCGCATCATAGGGTGGCACTGTATACAGCGACCGGAGGTGGCACTAACCTACAGTATCAGCGCGTTCAACTCGCGTTCGCTGAGGTGCGCGAGGCACTGTATACAGCGACCGGAGGCGGCACTAACCTGGACTATCAGCGCGTTCAACTCGCGCTCGCTGAGGTGAGCAGGACGCGGCCTCGCAGTCAGCGGACACGTGGACAGCGCACCGCGTACAGACCGCAGATGCTGCACCGCCATACGCAGCACCGTCAACTTGTCTAGCCGCGCATCATAGGGTGGCACTGTATACAGCAACCGGAGGTGGCACTAACCTACAGTATCAGCGCGTTCAACTCGCGTTCGCTGAGGTGCGCGAGGCACTGTATACAGCGACCGGAGGCGGCACTAACCTGGACTATCAGCGCGTTCAACTCGCGCTCGCTGAGGTGAGCAGGACGCGGCCTCGCAGTCAGCGGACACGTGGACAGCGCGCCGCGTACAGACCGTAGATGCTGCACCGCCATACGCAGCACCGTCAACTTGTCTAGCCGCGCATCATAGGGTGGCACTGTATACAGCGACCGGAGGCGGCACTAACCTGGACTATCAGCGCGTTCAACTCGCGCTCGCTGAGGTGAGCAGGACGCGGCCTCGCAGTCAGCGGACACGTGGACAGCGCGCCGCGTACAGACCGTAGATGCTGCACCGCCATACGCAGCACCGTCAACTTGTCTAGCCGCGCATCATAGGGTGGCACTGTATACAGCGACCGGAGGCGGCACTAACCTGGACTATCAGCGCGTTCAACTCGCGCTCGCTGAGGTGAGCAGGACGCGGCCTCGCAGTCAGCGGACACGTGGACAGCGCGCCGCGTACAGACCGTAGATGCTGCACCGCCATACGCAGCACCGTCAACTTGTCTAGCCGCGCATCATAGGGTGGCACTGTATACAGCGACCGGAGGCGGCACTAACCTGGACTATCAGCGCGTTCAACTCGCGCTCGCTGAGGTGAGCAGGACGCGGCCTCGCAGTCAGCGGACACGTGGACAGCGCGCCGCGTACAGACCGTAGATGCTGCACCGCCATACGCAGCACCGTCAACTTGTCTAGCCGCGCATCATAGGGTGGCACTGTATACAGCGACCGGAGGCGGCACTAACCTGGACTATCAGCGCGTTCAACTCGCGCTCGCTGAGGTGAGCAGGACGCGGCCTCGCAGTCAGCGGACACGTGGACAGCGCGCCGCGTACAGACCGCAGATACTGCACCGCCATACGCAGCACCGTCAACTTGTCTAGCCGCGCATCATAGGGTGGCACTGTATACAGCGACCGGAGGCGGCACTAACCTGGACTATCAGCGCGTTCAACTCGCGCTCGCTGAGGTGAGCAGGACGCGGCCTCGCAGTCAGCGGACACGTGGACAGCGCGCCGCGTACAGACCGTAGATGCTGCACCGCCATACGCAGCACCGTCAACTTGTCTAGCCGCGCATCATAGGGTGGCACTGTATACAGCGACCGGAGGCGGCACTAACCTGGACTATCAGCGCGTTCAACTCGCGCTCGCTGAGGTGAGCAGGACGCGGCCTCGCAGTCAGCGGACACGTGGACAGCGCGCCGCGTACAGACCGCAGATACTGCACCGCCATACGCAGCACCGTCAACTTGTCTAGCCGCGCATCATAGGGTGGCACTGTATACAGCGACCGGAGGCGGCACTAACCTGGACTATCAGCGCGTTCAACTCGCGCTCGCTGAGGTGAGCAGGACGCGGCCTCGCAGTCAGCGGACACGTGGACAGCGCGCCGCGTACAGACCGTAGATGCTGCACCGCCATACGCAGCACCGTCAACTTGTCTAGCCGCGCATCATAGGGTGGCACTGTATACAGCGACCGGAGGCGGCACTAACCTGGACTATCAGCGCGTTCAACTCGCGCTCGCTGAGGTGAGCAGGACGCGGCCTCGCAGTCAGCGGACACGTGGACAGCGCGCCGCGTACAGACCGTAGATGCTGCACCGCCATACGCAGCACCGTCAACTTGTCTAGCCGCGCATCATAGGGTGGCACTGTATACAGCGACCGGAGGTGGCACTAACCTGGACTATCAGCGCGTTCAACTCGCGCTCGCTGAGGTGAGCAGGACGCGGCCTCGCAGTCAGCGGACACGTGGACAGCGCGCCGCGTACAGACCGTAGATGCTGCACCGCCATACGCAGCACCGTCAACTTGTCTAGCCGCGAATCATAGGGTGGCACTGTATACAGCGACCGGAGGCGGCACTAACCTGGACTATCAGCGCGTTCAACTCGCGCTCGCTGAGGTGAGCAGGACGCGGCCTCGCAGTCAGCGGACACGTGGACAGCGCGCCGCGTACAGACCGCAGATGCTGCACCGCCATACGCAACACCGTCAACTTGTCCAGCTTGCGCGCCATCGCCCCGCACATGGGTATCATGGCGCTCAACTCCGTTATGTACGTGTTCATTTTGTCGCGTCTCCGCTTCTCTATCTCGCTATGGTTCTGCCTGTTGGGATTGGTCGATAATAAATACCTATACGCATTTTAGTAGTATACTCGTTTATATAGAACGCCCTATCATTTTTGAATGCAATTTAATTTAGTTCTCGGTTTTTCCCCGACAAAATTTGGAAGGTTTGGAAATTGCTTTTTCCGTGTAGAAGAAGTACACTTGACGTCATACATAAATAAAAACTGGACCTGTGCGAGGTGGGTTCGCGCACCGATGATGGTCCGTCGATATTTGTAGGTACGCAACATAAACGACCATGTTTTTTTACGTTAACTTAGAAGTTTAATTTTTTCACAGCTTCAAGGGACTGAAGTCCTGTACCCTTAGTACGAGTTGGAGCTCACGAAAACTATAATAGTTTTCGTAATTGTAAATTATGTTTCTATGTCCATTTTAGTAAAAAGGAACCAAATATACTTAAAATTTAAGAAGACGCAAATGATTAAATTATAGAATAGGGATGATGACTAATTTTTTTTTTCTTCGTTTATCAGGTAGATTATCAAAAAGTATTGGACACATATTTTTTCTTTTTTCACATAATATAAACATTGTAGTGATATATTGATTTGAAAAGTCGCATGACGTCACGTTTGAGTACACTTATAAGTGAAAATTCACTCAAAAGTGACGTCACGAGCCCCTACTCCCAAACTTTGACGCGCTATAACTTTGTCATTTTTTGGTTGATTGCCCAAAGAAAAAATACGTGTCCATTATATTTTGATCATCTAACTGACCGACTAAATAGAATTTCGTTTACTGTACCCCGTCATCACCCCTATTTAAACACTGTTTATTTGTATTGAAGCGAAAACAATAAAATCAGTACCCTTAGTAAGAGTGAGAGCGCACGAAAACTATCATAGTTTTCGTAATTGTAAAACTCGTACTAAGGGTACTGAGTATATAGTTTCGATACCTTTCCCCGTTCCGAGGTAAATGGTCTTGACAGGCAGACAACAAAGCTACCTACTTTCGTTTTTTTTCTTTTTGAGGTACGGAAAAATAAAATGAATAGATAAATAATGAAAACTTATATTAATTAATTTGTTTTTAACATACATACTTAAACGAGAGGAATAAATGACGATAGAGTTAATGTTAGCAAATAGTATTTACAAGTGTGACACAGCGCCGGTCGCCAGCATTCCTTATCAATGATAATGTAACCTCGGCATTTGTCAAGGATTTCAATCGCGGAAGCAGTGCAACCATGCAATGCACTGATACGTATGTACAGTACAACAAGATGTGAGAACCATACTACTTTATGAAACGAATCCTTCGCCACATGTGTTTTAGCGAAGATATAAAAAAAATGTGTGCACGGACCACATTTCTGAAGTGAAACTTCTTTGGCGGTTTTATTTTATTCATCATCATCAGCCTATTAATGTCCCCACTGCTGGGGCACAGGCCCTCCCCGTGGATGGAATACGGAGATTGGGCCATGACCCACCACGCGGGCCCAGTGCGGATTGGCGGGTGCTAACGACTACAGATGCAGCCGGGACCAACGGCTTAACGTGCCTTCCGAAGCACGGAGGAGTTCGAGATAGTGAATTTTCGGTCACCCATCCAATGACCGACCACTGCGAAAGTTGCTTAACTTCAACGATCGCAGCCGAACGCGCTAAACACTTGAACCATCGAGCTCCGCAACTTTTATTTTATTACTGTTTTATTTATTGAAGCAATTAACTGCTGGATGTTTAATTATAAGGAAAATTTAGATTGAAACATCTAATTTAGATTTAATCATTTAAACACCAACAACATTATTTTACTCATAGTGTTATCATACTAGGGCTTCACCTCATCTCTCATTATGCAACAGTTGCTGTAAATAACTATAATAAATCAGTTTTTGAACGTGTATAAAGTGCGGTTAATGAATTATTTTAGTCAATCCTGACTTTTCAGTCAAGTTAAAGTAGTTGTAGTCGTAATACCAACGACCTTTTATTTGTATAATTTGTCCAGTTTTAGAAATCTGGAGAGACAAAGGGAACTGAACCCATACAGCCATCGGCCAACTTGGCCTATAGACAGACGCTTGCGATACCAAAAATATCACTAAATTTCATGAATACGGATTTATACCCATTCAAAAAAGGTTTTATCAAATTACTGGTGTGGATGACTAGATGAGTAATATAAAAAGAAATATAAGACTAGATATAATTTAAACAACAATGTAATCTATACTTATAATAAATCTGTAGAGAGGTCAATTCTGTACATGAAATATATTTTCAAATTAACTATCAGGGGGTGATTAGTGATCGATACTGATGCAAAAAATGCAATCAGTCAAATTTTTGTCTGTCTGTCTGTCTGTGTGTATGTTCCTTATAGAAACAAAAACTACTCGACGGATTTTAACGAAACTTGGTACAATTATTCTTCATACTCCTGGACAGGTTATAGTATACTTTTCATCACGCTACAATCAATAGCAGCAGAGTAGTGAAGGGAAATGTTGGGAAAACGGGAGAAGTTACTCCATTTTTTAAGCTTCCGTCGCGTGTGCAGCCTTAATGGTTAACGTTACATAGAAATCATGTATGACGAAAATATTCTACATAAAATTGTTTAAAAAATATCTCGCAACAGCATATGTCTATCTTTTATGGTTGACTCACAATAACACGTGTAATCTATACTTATTATATAAATAAAGTCATTGTTTATAGCACAAGTCTGAGAACAAAAACTATAGTTTACACTACAGCGAAACGAAGCGAGGGCGGGCCACTAGTAAGAAATATAAGCCTAGATATAATTTAAACAACAATATAATAAGAAATATAAGACTAGATATAATTTAAAGAACACTAACTTTTTAGCAGGCATACTGAGTGAAGAGCGGCCGTCCTCCGTGCCGTCGTCATCCATCGTGCTGTTGGCGCCGCTGCTGCAAGATAAGACATTACAATTTAGTCGAAAACAAACAATTTGACGACCTCCGTGGCCGAATGGTCTCTACGACGGGTTTCCTGGTGTCGCCGACTCGAGAGGTCCTGGGTTCGAATCCCGGTGGGGGCAGATGTTTGTGTGATGAATACGAGCATTTTTACTCCAGTCATGGATGTTTTATATGTATTTTCTATACAAATATACTCATATAAAAAAAAACAAAAAAAATATAATCATCATTATAGGGGGCATACGACCTGACGGCTCACCTGATGGATGGTAAGCGATCACCGTTGCCCATACACACCTGCAACACCAGGAGTATCACCTTTTAAAAAATAGTACGCTCTTTTTTTTTAAGTTTTTCAGGTCTGATTGGTCCCTGAAACGCTGCTGGTGACAACGTATTCCACAGTTTTGTCGTACATGATAAAATAAATCGACAAAATCGCAAGGTTGTGGATAGCCACGCATCAGAATGGTGGGGATGAAATTTTTGTCGCGATGTACGATTGCGAAAAGCAACAGCTGGTATTAATCCGAACGTGATTAATATGATAGAAGATGCAGAGCGAAGCTACAGGTCTACGCAAAGCCAAAGGATCATACTTATTCTCAACAGTCTTCGACAATTCGAGCCGCCGGGCGCTGGATGCAATCCAGAGGGAGAAGCTGGTATTGGGGTGAGACCCAAAGATGACAACAGTACTCCATGAGAGGCCGAACCTGTGTTTTATAAAGTTGCAATCGGTGGGCCGGTGTGAAGTACTCTCTCGACCTATTGAGTACACCAAGCTACTTGGAGCCTTATTTGGCCTTGCCCTCCAGATGAACTCGGAACTGGATGTCGCTCGATATGTCAACACCAAGAATACCGATACTAGTTGAGGCAGTAAAGTGTTGTCGAAAAGGAGGGATACGATAAATAGTATTTTTTTAGCGCTAAACGCGCATACCTGTGTCTTCGTGGGGTCAACTTAAGTTAAAGATTAAGTCGTCCCCAATTTGATACTTTACTGAGCAAAGTCTTATCTTCCGGCAAAAGTTTGTTCCGGCTCTCCATTACGTTTTCCTGGAAATTATTTGCGCGGCCGGTATATAAGGCATAACCTGTGCTGTAGTCTGCATAGCAATGAATGTCATCAATTTGAAGCATATCATTGATTGCACACAGCCTTGTGCGAGGGCGGATCCAGGGGGGGTCATGGGGGTCATGACCCCCCCTGGGCTGGGTCCATCTGTACCCACTTCACAATCTGTACCCACTGTGACTTGACCACGACTATATGACCCCCCCCCCCCCGGCGCCAAAGCTGGATCCGCCCTTGGCCTTGTGGGACAACCGCGCTTACGGTTTTGTAGGCCGAGCATGCACCGTCAACTACGACCTGGATGCACAATTTTGTATGGAAGCCCATAAGAAGGAAGCTTAGAAAGAAGCGCTTTGTGCCAGACCCGAGATCGCCTTTGCGGTTTCCAGACTGATCGTTAATGCTTCCATCTTGGTCTCGATCGCCTTTGCCCAACGATGCGTCAAGTATACTAGAAGATCACCGGCCGAACGACTTCTACGGAAACTGCTGGGGCACAGGCCTTCACTATGGAATAGGGAGATTGGGCCATTTGGTGGGTGCTAACGACTGCAGATCCGAAGCAAGGCGGAGCTTGAGATAGTAAATTTTTGGTCACCCATCCAATGACTGACCACTGTGAAAGTTGCTTAACTTCAACGATCGCAGCAACTTGAGCCATCGAGCTCCTCATTGTTATACACTGTGGCATTGAACAAGTCCCATTGGACGTGTAGTTCAAAAGAGAAGAAAGTCCTGATGCAGCTATATATGCAACTGCAACCAAATTAATTTTGAGACATCTCCAATCGAGACATTAGAACTTATAGTGGCTTTTCTTATTACCGTACCTATAAACTTTTTACGGGCTTCAGGAATATTAAATTATTCGTCTTTTGAAGGGCTCGGAGGACGAAGAGTCCGCATTAGCATCGCCCTAATGTCATAAATTATATTATAGGAATACAATTTTAATAACGTCATAACAATATCGCAATCGCAAACCACTAACTTTGCATCAGGATCGATGGTTCCATCCAATCAAGCAAATTGCATGGTGTAGTGTAGATATATGACGAGAACCTATTCCGAGTACTTGAAACTGATGACTATTGCAATTTTGACAGTTATCTACATTGGTCAATTGGCGATTAAGACCATCAGGGAGGTAATATAGGAAAGTCAACGGGCGCGCGGTCGCTCGGTACGCTGAATGGATTCAAAGAGTAAATTCATAAAGTTTGCATCGTAGGATCATTTGATTCTTTGAATCTTCTTACTTTAAAATATTCTTGGATTTTTGGGTTCTGGGGTCCACACTAGGTTAGGTTAGTGTTGTGACCATGGAGCGCGAGCCGAGCGAGCGAAGCGAGCGTACCACGGCATCGGTCGGCAAAGCACTAAGAAAAAAAAACCTTAACCGTAAGATTGTCAAACGTCATCGCCAGTGTCTAATTATCCCCATTTTCGCGATAATACGATTTATCATATAATCCGATATATGCAAAAAGACTGGCAACCAAGCATAAGACCCGCCTGATGGTAAGAGACCAATATAACCAATATATATAGATACTAGCTGACCCAGCGAACTTCGTACCGCCATAAAAATAGGGGCAGGTGGTAGAAGAGAAACTTCATTTTTGTATGTATTTTTTAATACATTATAAAAAAATAAATATTGTGTAAAGTATGGAGGAGCTCGATGGCGCAACTGGTTAGCGCGTTCGGCTGCGATCGTTAAACTTTAGCAACTTTTCCAGTGGTCGGTCATTGGATGGGTGACCAAAAATTACAATCTCGAGCTCCTCCGTGCTTCGGAAGGCACGTTAAGCCGTTGGTCTCGGCTGCATCTGCAGTCGTTAGCACCCACCAATCCGCACTGGGCCCGCGTGGTGGGTCATGGCCCAATCTCCCTATTCCATCCATGGGGAAGGCCTGTGCCCCAGCAGTGGGGACATTAATAGGCCGATGATGATGAAATATTGTTAAAAAAAAATTAGGGGTGTTTTTAAAATTTACCCAGGAAATTGATAGAACACTACGTTAAGTGTTCTATCAATTTCCTGGGATAACATTCCTCCTAACCCATATGAGAACAATACGTTACAATACCCAATACTTTGAATTTTGGCGCGAAGGCGCATTGTAGGTTTCAGAACAGTACGTTACAGGTGGACAACCATTATCATTTAAGGATATGAAAAATAGATAGTAGCCGATTCTCAGACCCACGGCATATGCATAGAAAATTTCATAAATATCGGTCAGGCCGTTTCGGAAGAGTATGGTAACTAACATTGTGACACGAGAATTTTATATTAATGATATACTTGCGATACCTACACTCACGAGTGACTACCTTGACCCCATCCCATACCCCGTAGAACTTTTACTCAACAACAAAAACATAACTCCATCAAAAGTAGTAATGTTCACTGTGGTCTTCGGTAAAATGACTGAGCACTTGATTAAATATTGCCAATTTTACTTTAAATAGTTTAAATGCAAAGAATGATAATCTTATATATAAAATTCTCGTGTCACAATGTTAGTTACCATACTCCTCCAAAACGGCTTGACCGATTTTTATAAAATTTCATATGCATATTCAGTAGGTCTGAGAATCGGCTACTATCTATTTTTCATACCTCCAAGTGATAGTGGTTGCCTAGCCCTATAATTTTTTTTTTGGACATTTTTTATTTTATTTTATTTTTTTGGACATTTTTTTTTTATAATTTGGCACTAAAAAATAGAAACAACCCTAAATTTTCATCCTTCTATTACCAGCCCCTATTTTTATGGCGGTACGATGTTCGCTGGGTCAGCTAGTTATTTATAACTATAACATTTCAGTGGTTTTGTTTCTATGAAGTCTGTTTTTATTTATGTTAAACCATTGTTTCTCTTTCTCTTCATAAACAATACGATCCGGCCATGCTCTTGGGTTATGTTGGAAACACTCAAGAGCATCTATGCTTGGCAACCGTGAGCCAACATTATTGGAAATAGGTACCTAATATGAAGGACCTCCTCAACACCCTAGGGATTTCGACTTAAATTACTTTCATTGATCGGTTAGAATTCTCCGACCAAAGTAGACAAAGATAGTCAAATTTGGCACAGTATTTTCATTCAAAACTTGTTATGTCATTGGATAACTAAATGTAACGTTTCACATGACGTAAGAATAATCTATTTGTTATGTGTCCCTGCATAACGCCAGGAGAACAACGGTTTTTTATATGTTAAAATCGTGGCAAACAAGCTTACGACCTGCCTGATGGTACGCCACCATAGTCTATTACAGAAGCTTGCGATACAAAAAATATCACTTGCAGCATTGCCTACCCTTTTTTTCCCCGCCATCTGGGAGTGGCCACGGAGTTATGTGGGACTCGTCCTGCCCGTCCGCTCAGCCAGTCCTGGGCTGAGCGGACGGGACTAGCTCAGCGAACGCCCAGGAGGGGGGGGGGGGGGGGGGGGGCTACCCACTAAAAACCTGACGATGCCCCACACCTCACTCGGTCCACGGTCCCAACCAGCGTGGTTGAGACAACGGCACTAGATGAGGTCACGGGAACCCTTACGGAATCTTTCGCGACAGCATTGCCTACCCTGACCTCATCCCCTACCCCGTAGAGCCTGGAACCTCACCTTTATACTCACTCAACATTAAAATTTACCTTTCATCGTTTAATTACAATTACAGTCGAAACCGGATATAACGACATTGAAAGGACTACATAACTTCGGACGCTATGTCCGATAGTTGTTATAAGCAATATACACATTTAGTCATATTAATTTTCTTATGTATGTACGAAGTTGTTTATACTTCGTACATACATTAACTTATGTTTTATCCGTGCGGTGACGGAGAAAGAATACCACTCACCGCCCCATCACTTCCCGCGGGTGTCGT